GGGGGGGGGGGGGGGGGGGGGGGGGGGGGGGGGGGGGGGGGGGGGGTATAGGCCCACGTAGAAAAATGTCAACCCTGTCGCATGGGTCCGGTAACAATTGTTATCTTGGACCCTTCACCCTTCCCCATCGTATATCGTAACAGTTCACCTTTGTACCAGGTCAAAGGTCACCGTGCATTTTCTTCATTCCGAACTCATCCTCGCGTCCGAACTGTCCGAATGGAGCTTTTCTCATCGTTGACCTTTCATTGGTGTACGACGATGTGCGTAGGTCGTTTGAGGGTGAGGAGAGGGGTCGAGGGTGGTTGTAGGGGAAGATCGGATCAGTTCGCAGGGCCGTCGCGTAATTACGAGAAGTCAGTCATCCTTTGAAAATAATTAGACGCCTTTAGCTACCCTTGGAAGTTATTATTATACGTTCCTTCTTACGCTCCCTTGCTCACGTGGACTCTGGAAATTATCAATGGCTCATAACCGTCTTGGGTGTCGAAGGTCATCCTGGCATTAACACGTGTCTTAATACAATTAATTTAATTGAAAATCGTTACCAGTATCTTATCCGTGCTGCTGTAGCTTCCATTGGGCTAGGCCAGGGGTGGCCCTGGTTGGCTAAGTTGAGACCGGTCTCGTGTCCGATCGATGACAATCGATCGACCTGACTTTTGAGGTCGACCGTGCAACTCTCGGTAACGAGCAGATCGGCTGACCAGATGTCCCAGGACGCCCTTATACCTTCATAACAATACGGCCAGGCGGACGACATTCCCTTCTGCGACGTTGGTACCTCGATAAACGTATGGATCATTGGGGTATCATCAGCTTCCCCTTAAACGGATGTCACACGCGCGGCACGTTTTCGATTACGGTTTCGATGCGAAGTATAGTCTATCCTTCGCAGTAAATTGATCTCTGCCTACGGCGATGAGGTATGTCTAGGAGTCGCTCGTTAACATGCGTAAGGTGTACGAGGCGTCTGGCTGCCGCTTGCCGTCTCCGTCGAGAGACCTACTGATTCTACCTCGAGTCCCGAGAGCTCAGACGTTTATGATTTTTTTAGCGCCTCGTAGAAGACTTATGCGTCTTTGTTTCTCATTGTTGTTTTCACGCTGAAACTCACTCGTCGGATCTCTCGTTGTGACGATCGAAGACCGTTGGGATGATTTTGACCTTATTTCGACAGTTTACGAGATACGTGCGCACGGGAGACTCGGGATGCCAGGCGTTGACTTAAAAGTCGCCTAGTGCGGCCTTAAGGAGTTTGCACGGTTTTCGTCGCTGGACCGCAGCCAAGACCTGTCATCAAGGGTCGTAAGAGAAGAAATAACGCGCGAAACGGGAACGAAATTCATGGTGACGATAATTTGCCAGAAACCTGCACCAAATTACATGATGATCATAAGACGGACGCCATTCAGATTCGTGGTTGTCGTGTAATCGTGTACAATAAATCGATTAAGCGCTTCTGGGCCCTTTGCTCCACTGTACGGAAGTCTTCGTGAATTTCGGCCACTCGATGGCTCATCCAATTTCATAATTTATTCAGACTTTTTATCGCTATGGTATTTCGATACAAATTTATAACTTTTTTTTGCGGTTTACAAAAAATGTCTGAATCATTCGAAGTAATAAAGAAAAATACTCACGTTGTATGTTTTATTTATATTTTCAGGGCTAGGCAGCCTTCTAATAACTTTGCTGGTTGTCTCGGTGCACGGAGCCCCGACGACGATGACTCTTGAGGATAGACAAGGACGACTGAATTCACCACCCAAATGGGTAAATCCTTGCGGCCTGGCAGCCGATGATTTGGACGCTGATGTTGATATGGTGCAACTTCGGGACGAGCAGCTGATCACCCAGGTGGTCGTTCAGGCCAAGATGGCGCTTATGCAGGCGCAGCTCTTTCGCGACGATTACGTGAGTACTTGCGAATTGCATTAAACTCATTGAAATCCTAAGTAATTTTATTAGGTTATGTGGAAAATTTTATTAAGTCATTCGAACGACACTTAGGTATATCCGTTAGAAAAAGTAATGTAGAAACGCATATGCACTCGTTCAGCCAATCTCGTTGCATTAAGGATCAATTCGTAGGACCAATGATGATAGACATGTTTTGTAAGGCTATCGAGATGGTAAATAGGAAGCCGAAGTCAATGACGACACCACGGGGAAAACCGTAGCGCCAACGCTCTCTGTTTTTCCCGTGAATAAACGAGGAGAGCGTGCGAAAAAATTTAAGAGACGCGAACACAGACTCAAGCAGAGTCAACGAAAGTTCAAACGGTTGGTTAATCGGTTGTGCAAAAATTTCTTGAAATTTTCGCGAAGAGAATGGCGAATCGATTAATCGCAAGATACGCACGGACTATAGGAGGAGTAGTAAGCTCATCAATGGGACTATAATTACTGGCGTGGGTGGTAAAGCCGGGAGGGGGTTAGAGAGAGGGAAGATGGGGGGGGGAATGAGAGAGGGGAAGAGAGTCGTTCGAGCGGAAGGCAGTTATGGCTGTACTTCCGGTGAGACGGACATTGATCGTGCGACGAGTCACACCATCCTTCGAAAGAGATCTCGAAAGTTTCGCGTATAAATCGTTCAAGTTATTTTTATATTGTATCACGTCGATCGGACATAATTCAAATTAAGAAATATTGAGATAAGGATTTTACAGTGATTAATTTGAACCCAGACGCGGATTCGTGGTTGAGGAAAAATATACTTGATACGTCGATAGAGAGGACGTTCGTGCCATGAAAATCATTCTCGGTTCGATCAATGATGATCCAGGTCTCTCGGATCGCTACACGAATCATCCATTCAGCTGATCTCTAATCAAATTTCAAGGAATAACGAGAGGAGGAACGTGATTCGTTCAGAAGCAAGACCCGGTATCTATATCCTTGTGTAAGTGTCCGCCGGAAGTAGGAGAACGTTCCTTAGGAGTCCCCACCATCGATCAGGGTAGTAAGGCCGGGTACTCGGACACACGTTCATTAATCAGCTGCAAGGCTCGTGACATACCTACGGCTGATAAAGCGTCGAAACGCATCGAGAATCGGTAATACGAAACCGTTTTGATCTACCGCTACTGGGATAAGACCAAGACGAGCGATCTCGATTCCATTATAATCTTGAGTCTCATTCGAGGAAGCTAAAGTGTCCTCTGGACGGATCTATCGGGAGCCAAGCGACCGGCACTTTGAACCTGGTGAAAGATTCTCGAAGTTAAAGACCGGATCCAAGTGAACTTGACCCAACGTCCAGTTCCGGATGTCCTTAGTTCGCTGTCCGGTCGCATCCGGACTAGCCATAAATAATTGGAGAACATTTCATCACACAATTAAGGCACTACGTGGTCCCGTCCGTTAATCGTACGAATCGAACCTCCAAGAGCCCAACGATCGCTCCGAGCAACCTCAGAGGCTACTCTCTTTGTACTGTCAGTTCGAACAGGCCGATTCTCAAGGTATCCATTTGGATGGAAGCGCATGATTCATCGGTGCTCCGGTATGTCATTCAAGGACCTAGCCGAAACGATCCCCGAGAGACAAAAGGGAGAAATCCCGAGGTATCATCCATATAGGAAACCGCACTGAGATCCTGCGGTTCGACCGCAGACCCGAAACTTTACTCCGTATTTTCAGGCTGATCGGCACACGAGGCGGCGCTCGGCGACTGAGCCAGTTTTATAATTTATGTGCCAACCGAACGTCACGACGCTCACGCTCTGCGCGCGCTTTTTCTTACTCCATCGTCTCTTCTCTCTCCGGGTCATTAGATTCAAAACACGCGTTAGCCAAGTCGCCGGCACATCGGCACACGTGACGTGTACGCCTCCAGGGGACACCTGTGCGTTTCGGGAGCACGCAGTAACAGTGCGCGGCGACGCAATTAAATATACGCGGAGCGCACCGATCCCGCTCCTCCTATTGCAACAAACTGCAAAGTGGAATCCAGTTCCACGTTGTAGGAACCGAGTAAAGTGATCGGGATCGCGATCCTCGGATCGATCCGAAGGGCTCTCTCACAATCGGCAGTGGGGTCCAACGGGTTGCAGAGCTCTCCGACACTCGTTACATCATCGCCCATGCGATACTCGATACCGATGTTTTCTAAGTCAGCGCATAACACCCGATATCCTCTTGGATCGCCGCTCCGGAGCCCTATGAGAACCCACCGTGAAGCAGAGGGAGCCTCTCCAAGTGGATTGAAGTTTCGTTTGGGACTCGTAGAAGTCGCTGGAGGACACGTACGGGTGGGTGCATACTGGGACAAGGATAAGAGTCATTGGGGCTCAAGTAGCCCGTGCAGGTGCGGACTGTGATATATCCGAGCTACGGCGACATACTGTCTGGATGGTCCATTGTTACGTCATCCTCGAGGTCATCTTATCTTTATCTGTGGGAAGCAGCGGGATGTTATATTAATTCAATCCTTATCTACTCTCCTCTACTGATAACACTCTCTTATCCTTCTTCAGCCGATCTATCTCGCGTCTCCTTACACTCATTTCACTTATGCGCTTCCGGCTTCCCTTTTGTCCGCGCGATGATGGACGCCAAGTCGTACCGTTGTCAGACCTCTGCTGTGAAGTTCGTTGTGAGACGAATATATATATATGTATATATAAGTACGTGGCGACGTCGTCGACTCTAGGCGTGACGAGGCAACTTCAGCACGCGCGTTCACTCGTGATTGTAAACAAAGTGTCGTGGGCTAGGATGATGGAGACGCATAGGCGTCGTTCCCTTCTTCAGGGGTACGACGTATAGCTACGTGCAAGAATCGTAAAATATCGGAAGTGGAGGATTCCAATAAATCAGAATCGGAAGCTGCCCCTCCTTCGTAGCCACCTACCACACCGGCACTCCGCCTGCATACTAAAGTGCAGACCGGATACAACGCGCCAGCACATATATATATGACCACTTCAATGTTATTCCTGCTCACTTCGACTTCTTAGATATTATACAATTCGTTAAGTGCTCGCTCGCTCTCCGGAATACCTTTGTCGCCTTGGAACTATATCGTCGAGTGATATACCACGGTAGACTCTCTTGAGCTTGCTCATCGAGCTGATCTGGATAGGACTGATTGGAGGGTTTTTTATATATTGTTTTTTTTTTTCAAATACGAAATCCGTGAAGGAAGTCTACTTTTGTTAATTGTATTATGGGCACGGCTGAGGTGGGTTGTACTTCGATGAGAGAACCTTCGATCGCTGCCCGGGCCCGTTGTACCGAATTTTTATAACTTCTAATAAGCGGTGGCCGAGCTTCGGGAAAAGAAAGAAAGAGAGAAAGACTAATTGATTTTGACGGGTCCCCACCGACTGTGCGTCGGGGACTCCAGCCTACTTCCTGCCGGTTTTCAGTCCAGTTTTACGATTATTTGAGTTTCGGTGTGGCCGAGGAGTTTTTTACGAGGCACAGAAAGAAGAGAAAAGGAGAAGTGGAGGGAGAGCGAGAGAGAGAGAGAGAGAGAAATACAGAGCTACGATTTGCTCACCGCCAGTGGTTGTTAGCGACAATTTTTCTTAATTCTCGTCTCGTCGCTTGTGTCTCACGCGAAATTATTACGGATCGTCAGGTTCGGAATTTTATTTTTTTGAAAAAAAAAGTTCGAAATTATGTGTACACCTGAAATCTTTAACTTCTTCGATATTCCTCATTGTCTCCAGTTTATATCTACCTGTGTCGATAAAAGCGACTTTACATGCCGCTACCAGATGAGAGCCTTCAGCAGCGTCGAACCAGCCATAAAACGTAGGAGGCCATAGGAGTAAGGACTCCTTTCGGTACACCAAAGTACGGACGGCTAATGTATTTATTAGGGGCCCGCTGACACCGGATTATCGTAAAATTGCCTTTAATTGCCTAAGCGGCTCGTTTTTTGTTTCCATTTCCACGAGGAGAATCGAATATTTCTCTGACGTAAGAAACAACCGTGTATAAAAGTGGGACCTCTCGCTTATGGAAGAACCGCTCCTTACAAAATGGACACATTGACACCAGATCGTACCTTTTTAAATTCAGCTCGACCTAAATCAAACGGATACTTTGTAAAATCACAAATAAATGCTAATTGTCGTCCAAGTTAACCAGTATCTAACGGGTGTCTTTAAACGAACCGTAGACCCTTTTAGCATATCTATCCACCATATAGATCTCAGGCACAGTACCCAAGTAACCTTTATTCACTCTTATCTCTTAAATACTGCTTGGCAGTCCGGGCCTCTGACTGAGATCGATGGCGAGGTAGTCCTTTCGAAGGCATCACACCACCGCGATCATAACGTCCTGCAAAAGTAGTAGCATTGGGTGTTGATTGTTATCATTCCGTTCTCCAGATAAGAGAGGCTGACAATGAATGGAGTCTGCTCTGGGCCCAGCTGGCGATCATACGATGCCACCGAAGCACGTATCGATATGACCCAGCTGCAGGTACCAACTGTAATCGGACGCGACGTACGATAAAAAAAATAATATTAATACAGTACCAAAAAGTCATATACATATACACGTAAGACAATGTTACCATAACAGTAAAAAAAAAAGTACTCTCCCACGCTCGATATTTAAACCCACAAGTATCGGTACTCCGCGTACTAGCAGGGCACGTGCTGCACTAACCACATTGCGGGCGCAATTCCCAGTAGCCGGCAATTGTAGCATCGGCGTCGGCTCCGATGTGAAACGAAATTTGACTTGGCGCGAACGCACCGGACTCGATTTAGCAAGAGTCCCGCGCCACTGGGGCTGCGTTTAGTCACCGATTACCGCGAGCAGCCAGTTATGCGATTTGTCTCGACAATGCTGGATCCTCTTCCCGGTATAATCGAGCGTCGGAGTGAGTAACCAGGGCGCCGCGATGAGCAGCTCGACACGCTCCTTCGGGTCGCGTTTCTTGCTCGGGACGACGCAGGCGAACGGCGGCGGACCCGGTCGCTCGTCTACCGGCAGCGCCGGGCCATCCGCTCCCCCAGGCTGCTACCTACGCTCTTTTCGAGTCTGACTTTTTGGGAATACCGGCTAGCAGGCGCGCCGCGAGTGCTTTACCAGGAATCTACTTGGAAGCCGTGTAGACCAGGCGCCGCGACCGGCCAGACACGTTAATTGTCCCATTGTGGCATCGCTTACACCGAACGAGTCATTATGAATCATTCGATGCTTCCACTCGGAGCTTTTACGTAACGTCACCTCCACGTGCTGCGATACGCGTACGCATGAGATATTGAGAACGTAAGGTGAGCTCCCGTGCTTTTTGGCACGAGACAGGTCGAGTCGGGCCGCGTGGTGGGGACGATGCGAATGAGATTTTTTTTTTTTTTTGGTCTTACGTCGCCGGTAACAATGTTAGATCGAGTTTTAGTGTTAGGACTTGGTGGCCTTGAATCTCTTTTAGTTTTTTGGATTTTTTTGTACCTTTATCCGCACCCGGGGAGGGGGGCCGCTTTTCTTGCCCTGCTGCGAGCTGGTCTTTGATCGCGAACTTTTTGTTTCACTGTTTCAGATCAAGCAGACATTCAACACTGACTTTGCCGATCTCCACTCGGCATGGAAGAACAACCACTATGACTGGTTGCCAGGAGAGACGGATATTCCCAAGCAGCTCGGACAACAGCTGGATAAAAACTTTCTTGATAAACTGCAGGTGAGTGGAGGAGACGCGAGATCCTTTTTTTGACATATTTTTATGTTTTTAGTAAAAAAATTCTATTTACCATCCTGTCGTTTCAGCTTGACACGGCCCTGCTAAATGCGTACGAGTACATGCAGAAATACGCTGTGGGCCTCGAGCAGATAGTCTGGGACCAGGAGGATCATCATCTGGAGTTCCTGAAGCAGTTCACCGATACGGAGTTCAAACTTCGCACGGTAAGTCCCTCCATATACTTTTACATATCGAGGAATATCCTCGAATGACGAACTATCCTCGGACCTTTGTTCTTTGTGATTTCACGATACCTGCTCGCGCGTCAGAGCTGCAATAAATGTAGCGACTTTCACAATACTCAGCAGAGCCGAGCAATTAGCTTAAATTATGAGTTGTGCACGGGCGGGATAAAAAGCGTTTGTCAGTTTTACGACTGTTTTACGTAAACCGTCGTAAGTCCTAGTGCGATAGAAAAATTGGGGGAGGGGGGG